CCGGGGCGCGGGGCGGTCGGCGGCACGGGCGAGCCAGGCTGGCCCCCGCGACACCACGGCCCCACACACGGCACCGCTGCTCCTGCCACCCCGCACAGGGCCAGCACACAGCCAGCTCCGGGCTCGAGGTCCCCGGGGAGGCACACCACACGCACGCCCTGCCGCTCTCCTTCCGGCTGCAGCCACGGACAAAGAACAACAGGCCTGTCTGGAGTAAAAAAGGGATGAGGTTTCACGTCAGATCTCCCGATCAGAAGGGGAGGTGAGGGGGGCGGGTGGAAGGAGAGGGATAATGAACCACAAGCTCCATCATGAATTTTATTAACTGAAAAGGAATTTCAACACAGCAAACCTCCGTGTACAAAGACCCACCTCCTCATGGCTCTGTCCTAGTACTTGACAGCTCTACAATCCAGCCAGTGGCAGTCTGGAGACCCGTTTAATTAAGCGAGACAGCAATCAGCTTCCAGACACAGCTCAGCGTGAATGGCACGAGCAGCCTCAGTCTCTGCTCCCCAAAGATTCAGCCCCTTATTCCCAATCACATTGTTTTGCTGCCAAAAGAAGGGGGACGATCCCTACTGAAAACTGCAATCATGCAGATTTCAGCTTTTGTGCTGGGGAGGGTCTGCAGGAGGGCATGGCGGCCTGGGGTCTTCTCTCGAGCAGCAGCCCCGGCAGAGGTAACATCCAGAGATATTTCTCTGACTGCTTTCAGTGAGAAAAGGGAAGTCAGGCAGAGCCACTCAGCCATGGCACACTCTGTACTGCAACACCCACGTCCTCGCTCTGTGTCAGGACATGAGTTCACTGCGTCTGAAAGAGCTCCCCGAGTGCATCTCCGAACTGCTCCCGAAGGCATGCAATTGCTCACTGCGTGGTCTCCAAGGCGTGAGACACGTCCCATGTTACCCAGCAGCAGGAGGCCAGAGGTAGGCACCAGTGCAGGATTGACTCTCACTGTTGCAGGCACCAAACCTGCCCCTGGGCTGCTTTGTAAATCAACTGGTTTAGCTCCAGTCCAGGGCTGCTCTAAAGCTTTAAGCCTTGAGCTTCCCAGGGAGGGAGGGAGGGGAGGACAGATCTACCTACAGAGCCTTACAGCTGCAGAAGGCCAAGGGCAGTTCGCTCTGGTCTGTTTTATGCCAACGCTGCTCCCTTCCCTCCCCATCCCAGTGTTTTGGAGCATTAGTCTCAGAGCCCTGCTGCCAGGGGGGACCCAAGCAGCCAAGCTCAGCTGGCACAGGCACAGCAGGACTTGCCATCTCTCCACCGAATTATAAATGGCAGAAGGGGTCAAGTTCTGCCACGGCACAGGGAGGTGCAGCTTGGCCTCCATCAACAGGAGGGAGCCAGCTCTTGACAGTGGAAAACTCAGCCATCAGGCCCATGGTGGCTGGTAGCGGAGCCAAGCTGTGCTCCTGCAGCAGCAGCAGATGAAACGCTGCAGGGGAGCGGTTGTTGTTCGCCAGTTGGGGATCCCCCATCCCCTCCCCAGTCCTTGAGCTCTCACACTCGAACAGCCGGGGGAGGGAAGATGCCAATCTCCTCTCGCAGGGATTCCACTGTCTGTTCCCAGCGCCGCTCGTAGTAGATGTTGAGGATACAGTTGGCGTTGCGCCCGCTCCGAATCGCCCAGGGAATCAGCTCCGTAGCCAGGACCCGCAGCTTTCTGGAACAAAAAGTGCAGAAAGGGTTTGATTTGCTTCTCCAAGTCCCCATCCCAGGCAGATGCCAACCCTGCACGTCCACAGCACCCTCCATACCACAAGCCCTTCCACCCTTCTAGCCATCCTGCTGCTTATCTCACAGGGGAAACTGAGGCATAGAAGAGGACAGTGGGCTGGGAAGGTCACAGTCAGAAGCAAACCCAAGACTAGAACTCAGCTTAATAAGTAATCCCCACACTGTGCTGAGCCACCAAAACAGATGTGCCGGGGCTGGGAAGAGCTGCCAGCATGCTAAGAGTCCTGCTGGCTTTGACCATGTGCCCAGCCAGCGGGGTGACCAAGCCTGGACATCCCTCCTCCTGCCCGGCACAGCCAGGAGGGGACTTGCTGACAGGGGCACAGGAGAGGAACACTGGAAGCAGATGGAACAGAGGAACACTGGAATCATGTTCCGCTTCATCATTTCCTGCTTCAGTGACCAGGCAAAGTCAAGCCTCCCGCTGCCACCGTTTCTCTGGACCACAGTGGCAGAGCAGCAGGCAGACATCAGGGATCCCCGTCCGCCTCTCTACTGCAGACTAGTGGTGTCACCCTTTTGTTCCTCAGAGGACTCTGGAAAGCATCACCAAGGCTGGCACGTCCCCAGGGCAGGGACTCCCTCCTCAGCAGATCGCGTCGGGTGCGGTGCCTACCGTGCGTTAAGACGAACGGGGCCGAAGGCTGCGCCCAAGATGCACATGGGCAGCCCCGTCTGGATGGCTTCGAACCACTTCACCACGACCTCCCCTGGGAAGACACAGGGAGATGCTCAGCAGGCACAGCAAAGCGGTCAAGGGCTAGACAGGGCTGTGCAACCACAGAAAGCGGGTTGCCAGACCTGTCCCCTTCACAAAGATGGCTGCACATCTGTCGCACTTGTCTACACAGCAGGATTCGGAAGTGCGCCCCAGCCCCTAAGTCTGGCTGTGCTCTGCGGCCCTGGCTGCAGCCTAATCCCCCACCAGGGCACGACTGATCACACATTACTCCCTCAAAAGGGAGGGCCCAGGCCCCTGGGAGAGCAGGACCGAACAGCCAGCGCTCCGCTAGCTTGGGAAAGGCTTTGCTGCACAGCTTAGCAAAGCTCCCCACCAGCCTGATCTTCCCACATGGCTCTCCCCATCTCTCAGTTGGGAAAGACCTTTTTCAAATACTGCCACATCTCAGCCAAGGCCTGCTTAAGAGAGAGAGACCTGAAATGCCGGTTCCCACCAGCTCATCAGCAAGGCTCAGTCTGTGACTTGCTACTGAGTCACTCGCAAAAGGAGAGGAAAGGGCATGGAGATGTGCAGATAAGAAACAACCAGCAACCCTCCACACTTCTGTCTTTGTCAGCTTGCGAAACAACCCTCCCTTGGTGCCACCCTCACTGCTGGGCTGCAAGCACGCACCCACCCACACAGTGACCGCCTGTGCCCAGGGCTCTGGGAGCGCCTCTCCCAGTGGGGGAAAGGTGATGGAGGGCAGATGTCCAAGGCCCGTGGCCTCTTGGGTCACCAGCCATGCAAGGCAGTGAGGATGCAAACCCCCTTGCACACTTCCCTGGGCTGAGGATCAGGGAGTCCAACCCGCCTAGCCTGCTCAGTCCCCAGAAGAGGTGGCCGAGCATCATCACTGGGGTTTCACAGCACAGACCTCTGAGCCCTGGTGCTGGTCTGAGCCCCCTCCTGCCTCCTTGCTCAGCTCTGTGCTCCCCCTCACTCCTGGCCCACCTCCGCTCACCTAGCATGTTGGTTGGCATGCCCAGGAGGGTATGCATCAGGTCGTGGACTTCCCGGTACCTCTGGATCACATATGCTAACTCTTCATCATCAACAAACTTGGCTGGCATCCGCGTGTCCGGAGAAACCTTCTGCAAATCCAAAGGGGCGCAGTTCAGCCCCCTCTAAAACTCAACGTTCTGCTCTCACTTTCTAATGAACAGCAATTTCCAGCCCCCTCCATCTACACATCTTGCAGACATTTATGACTGGGTCAGTATCACAGATGAAAACCAAGGCCCGCACAGCATCGGTGACATATCCACCAACATCCAACCCCCAGCACCACAGGTCAGCCTCCTGAGTCTCGGTTCATTAACCCCTTTCATTTTCTGGGGGCTCCCTACAGGTTCCTCTGTGACTCCAAGCTCCCTCCAGTGCTCGTGCATGCTCCTGGCACAGGTACGGACTCCAGCCATTTGTGCCCTGCAAAATCCCACACTCACGTTGTCATCCAAAAAGCGGATGTATTCTCGGCCCAACGTGCCATCCGGCAACCCCTGCAGCCTGTTCACGTCCAGGGTGGAGAGACGGATGCGAGGCCGCTCCCTGAAAGCGGAAAGCAAGTCATTAAGTCTCCCAGTGAAACACTCACATCTGGGTGACCTGGAGAAAAACCGGTCCTGGAAACCCCCATCCCCTGCCTCTGCCCTTCCTGGGCATTTTCCTTGCATGGATCCTCATCAATCCCTACAGGGATAGCACCATCCTCATTTCTATTGCTGTGACTAGGCCACAAAATGCTTGAAGGAAATGCCTGAAGCCTTGGCAAGAACAGAGCTCTCGTCTTGCTCCCCTTCAGCAACTCTGCTTGGAAAAGCATCAATCTTTCACGCACAGTGACCCTGAAACGCTGCCCTGCTGGCTGGCAGCCAGGCACAGCTCCCCCCCAGCAACAGCAGGAGCAGCCCAGGGGAGCAGGTTCTTCATCGCTCCTGCAAAGCAGCCAGAACTTCAAAGGAACAACCCTACAGAAGGGAGTGAATTTGTTCTAAATGCAGATTTAATTTCTCTCCTGTTTGGGTTTTCGTCATGAGCTACGTGGCAGCTGTGCACAGACAGGTCTACTGTCCAGGCTGTTGGCAAACAGGTACTGCGAAGCCCTGAAACGAAATAAAAGCTCCTTCACTTCTGCCCACAGAAGAAACTCTTCCCCTTGTAAGAGCCTTGCAGTGGATCAAGAAGCTGCTCAGCTCCTGGAGTGGAGGCAGCAGGGAGGTAAGCAGGACTTGCAAGAGCTTTACTGTGGCTGCAGGCACTTCTGGTGCCACTTTCGGTGTCAAAGGGACCTCATTCAATTTAGGGGATTAAAAAAAAAAAAGACATGCGTGAACAAATCAGACTGCTGCAAACCCCTGTGACACCAGTGAGGCAAGGAATAGGTGGGAATTTCATTTGTCCTCAGTCTTTGGTATCTTGTCGTCCCCTCCCTGAGCAGTTTCTCTAGGACTCAGCCCCCTCTCCCGGTGCTCTGCACACTTTGCTGGGTTAGCGTCCAGAGCCCCAGGCAGGATCAGGCTGCCCTGCCTTGTACGTACCAACATACAACAAAAGGCACCCTTTCTCCCAGACAGTTCATGGCGCAGCTGGGATCAAGCATACCACAGGCACCAGGCGTAACAAATAACCAGGAGAAGGGAAAAGGAAAGTAAATAAACAGTAAGATGATCTTGGTTAATAAGAGGCTCAGGAAGTCCCTCCTTGTCCCCAGCCTTACTGTGCTCAACAATTCCCTGCAGACATGGAGGCAAGAGTGATCAAGACTAACAAGAATGACATGAGAACTGCCCTTATTTCATAGCTTAGGGAGATGCCACGGGCACCCGGAAATAAAGTACAGAAGTGTCTAAAGGGAAAGCAGACCAGCAAGTGATGAAGTCTTCAATGCAAGGAGATGCAGCAGCAGACACAGGGGAGAAAAAACACATCCATGGATTTTATCACAGCTAAGAGAGAAGGCGCCTACCAGTTACAGGAGCAAAGCAGAACAGACAGACACCAGCGCTTGAAATAGGCCTGGGCTCCAGTGACGTTTGTGCTGTTGCCCTTAGACTTGCCACAGAGCTCTTGCGATGGTTAAAAATAAAGTAAAGTAAACAAACTGGAGGATTAAAACTAACAAAATGCCTGTGCCCCTTTTAGGACAGGAAGTGCAGGACTCGCCCTTCACACAGACCAAGGAACGCACTGGTCAGGTGCCTCCCTCCCCACAAGCCATGGACGCAGAGAGAGGGATGAGGAGGGACGCACTGGAGGATGCGGTAACCTTCAGGATCGTGTTTCATCTTGTCTCGCAGGTTGGGTAGGACAAGGCAGCCCGTTGTCTCCCCAAGGACCGCCACCATGTCTGAAAGAGAGACCGGGCAGTGACCCAAGAGCAGCAGACACACAGCATCCAATGTATTTATTTTTACATCACCCAGCTGTCCCCATATGATAGGTGAGGAAACGAGGCAACGCATTGGCCAGGACCACGCAGGAAGCTTGTGGCAAAGAAAGGCACCCAGGGTTAACGCTAACGACGGACTGCCCACCTCAGGGTTACGCTGCTTGGTCTGACCCACAGGGAGGGACGTGAGAGCGGGTGCGAGGTGCTCTTTCCAGGCCTGGGAGAACAAGGAGTGTGATGTGGCTGGTTGGCATCACAGGGCTTGGCAGGAGATGCTTAGGGGGTGCAGGGGAATCCTGCCCCCCTCTCCTCCACAGCATCCTGCCCCGGGGCAGGTCTTAGCCCTGCACCTTCCCCATTAGTAAACGTCTCACCCAGCAGAAGAAATAAAACCCCCCCTGGAAACTCCCAGCAGAGACACAGGGCAGCAGTTGCAGGATGCAAGTAACAGGATCCCAGGTGGAAAAAGCCACCCTGGCTCGGCTTACCGTGTCTGTAGGGGTCATAGAGAGCCATCGCCGCTGAGCCAGCAGCCAGCAGCGCTTTCTGCAGCGGGCTGGTGGGGATGTGCCCAGGGTACAGCTGGTAGCACCCGTCCTGCTCCTCCGCACGTCCGTCCTCCGCGGGGCGCCCCGCAGCCACCTGGGGCTCGGCATGGCTCAGACATACCCTGCCTGCAGAGAGTGCAGCGGAGGGCTGCGTGAGCGGGTGGCCCTGCCAGCTCCCTGCTGAGGGGTTCGTCACTCGGATGTGGAGAGGGCCCTCGTGGAGGCGATGGGCACCCCAAAGCAGGGTAAGAAGTGCCCCAAACCTGGGCCTGCCGCCTCCCTGGTGAGGGGTGCGACACCTGGGTGCCGTGAGGGCACTCACGGAGGTGGTGGGCACCCAAAAATGGCTGAGCAAGGTCCTACCTGGTCCTGCCGGCTGCCTGCTGGGGGACGTGTCACCCAGGTGCCATGAGGGCACTCATAGAGGTGGTGGGCACCCAAAAATGGCTGAGCAAGGTCCTACCTGGTCCTGCCGGCTGCCTGCTGGGGGACGTGTCACCCAGGTGCCATGAGGGCACTCATAGAGGTGGTGGGCACCCAAAAATGGCTGAGCAAGGTCCTACCTGGTCCTGCCGGCTGCCTGCTGGGGGACGTGTCACCCAGGTGCCATGAGGGCACTCATAGAGGTGGTGGGCACCCAAAAATGGCTGAGCAAGGTCCTACCTGGTCCTG